CTCCATGTTCACAGGGGGGTCACCAAGGCAAGTCCTAATACGAGCCCAGGGAGGACACCCTTCACATAGGTCACCCCACCACTAGGAAGACTCCACTGGGCTGGGAATCTCAGACAAGGCTCTGCAGACACTTGGGCACTAATCCCTCCCTGCTGGTCCTTTCCCACCTCGCCTGCACTAGAGCAAMGGGTGGGCAAAGCCCCTGCTCCAGACCGATCACATCCTGCACATACTCGGCTGTTCTGAACCACAGAGCAAGGCAGAAAGCAACAAGGAGCAAGGGTAAGAGGGGATGACAAGCCCTGCCCTCAGAATGCTTATAAACCGAGGAGACAAGATGTAACACGAGGAGGAAACAGGCTGGAGGCAGGAGGGGATACCATAAAAACGGGGTGGTTTCGAACGTCGCTGCTGTGGGCATAAATCACCGCTGATCTCTGTGCAGATCTCAAGAGCTGCTGAACCAAGCCCACGTCCCCAGCTCGGATTGCAGCAGCACGGCCTCCCCCGAGCCAGGCTCAGCCCGGGATTAAACAGGGGCGCCGAAGGGTGCTGGATCCCCGCGGAACAGCTGGTTCACGGTGCCAAAGGACCCTGGTCCTGCCCAGAGCTCGGTGAGGAACGGCGGAGCTTCCCAGCCAGTGATCCCAAGCCCCTTCCTCCCCTCCGGAGCACGACCTTGGGAGCACAAGCTGCTCCAGGGCTGCTACAATGCAGTGCCGACGGCAAAGCCTCCTCACACCAGCAAGACAAAGATAAATCAAGATAAATCAAATGCCTCTCCATAAAACTGTCCCTCCCCACCCCGTTTCTCCTGCGCCCCTTCCCTGGGCCGCATCCCACCTTCCAGCTTCACTCCCGATGCAGTGACAGCAAAAGCGAGATTTTTTCCAAGCAGGGAAGGAGGGGGAGGCTCGGGGGGAAGGGRCACCTTATTTCAAAGAAACAAACAAAATTTACTGCCGGACAGCTCKCGGGCGTGGGCGCAGGCCGGCGCGCTGCAGCTGCGGTGCAACGGGCACATCAATAGAGGCAGAGCTCGGCGGAGCAGCGGCGCTGCGGGGCATTAGCATGCAGCGCACACGGGCGCCCTGTCTGCTCGCTTGTTCTCAGCCCCTCGGCTCCGCAAACGGCACAAAAGGGCAGGGCGGCCGGGGGGGCGCGGGGCCGGCGGCCAGGGGGATGGGGCCTGGCCGCGCTTCCCGCGCCGCATCCAACGGGATGAGGGCTCTGGAGCGGGATGGCTCCACGCGAGCCACTCTCTCCATCCTCYGTGCAGGGACCAGCAGCCGCTCGCACAGTCGGGAATGGGGAGGAACGGTGTGAGAAATGAGCCCGATGGCCAGCTGGACTTGCAGGTCACAGACAGCAGCGCGTTGCTCCCAACCGGCACCCCTTGCAGACCGGCCCTGCTGCCACCCGCGTGCCAGCGTCACACCCCGCAGGTGCCCTGTCCCCTCTGCCGACACCACGCTGCCCCAAGCCCCTCTTTCAATGTCCTCCACAGCGTCACCATGATGAGGGCTGCCAATACCCCTGGGTAAAGGCAGGGGACGCTGGGGGTGACGAGGAGGGGACAGTTTGGGAAGGTCACCCCCCTTTCCCTAAGTGACCAACTGCATCCCGGCTCCTGCTGCGCCCCAGTGCAGAGATGTGATCGCACTGCGCCAGGATGGCTCACGAGGAGCTGGGAACAGGACCTTGGATCTACTGTCCTGGAGCAGCCCGCGAGAAGGCAGTGCAGGAGCAGCATTTCCTGTACCGGGAAGCATTCCGCATCTTCCTCCGCCAACAGCCTTGCTGGGATCTCTTGCACACATCCAAAGGGAGCAAAACACTGTTCTCTTGCCCATTGCAAAAAGGGAAAGAAGGAGACAAAGCAGCCAGGCTGCAGATGAAACGTGGGGAGCAAAATCAGCGACCTCGGGGGGAACATGCCAAGGGACAAGGCATCATCCTCGGGGCGCTCTGGTGGCCCAGGTCACATAGGCAATGAGGGGGCCTCCCTCACGGGCCCTGCTGAGTTATTTTGCCAGGACAGCTCTCAACGTGAAAGGGGACAGTCCAAGCAGCCCAAGAGCATCTGTCCTCCCCATGCCACAGAGCTGGGCCTCCCTCCCGGCCTCCCTCGGTGACGCGGTGCTGCAGGAAACCAAGGTGTGCGATCCACCCTCCGCATGGGAACCATCCAGCACAGAACTAATTGAAAAACACTCCCCAAACGGAAAACCAATTATCTACTTAAAAGAAAGCAGAGAAACTTCCCTTGGCAGCTGGCACTGCAGCTGGGGCTTGGCAGCGGGCGCGCTTAGCCTGGCGTTGTGAAATAGAAAAGCAGCTTGAGAGAGACACCGGAGCAGAGGCTGTGCCGGCACAAACTTTGACCTGTCCCACCCGCTGTGGTGGCATCTCCTTGCCAAGCTGTGCAATCGGGAGCTTATTCTGCAGGCGAGCAGATTTCCTGGTCAGAAAGGTGAGGCTGCCRGGGCTGCAGCGACTCCAAACGCATCCAGCCCCGTTCAGCCCCCGGCTACAAGCCCAGCCATCCCACCCCAGCGAATCCAGGCCACGCCACAATTTCTGTCCAGTTTTTGCTGAGTTTGCACAAACTTGGATGACTTCTTGCAGGAATGGGAAAGCATAAAACCAGAAACATTCCCGAGCACCTTCGACATGCAGATAACTAGAAAGCCCAAGCTTTAGAAGTCAGAATTGTCCTAATGTGCACAGAAGTCCCAAAGCGATGTGTTTTGGGTTTCAAATACTGAACGTTCATTACTTCTTAAATAATGAACTTTGCAGGCGCACAGAGTTCACGCTTCTTGGTAGCTTTTGACAAGCTTCTGTGCTTCCATGCAGGGTGGCATTTCAGCATCAGAGCCACCAATACTCCCGAGATGCCCCCAAAATGAGGAGGAAATAAGTGCTGCAAGAGGAGAGCTAAGGGCAGACTTAAGTCTAAGTCTGAAGTTAAGTTTGAAGTGAAACTCAAGGCAATAGATGATTTGCAGATTGAAGCCCAAACAATCACATTAAGTGGCTACATTGCACAGAGCACCTGTAGGGTTCCCTTTCAAGAACCTGAATCAGCAAATCCTGCAGGTTCCCACGGCTTTCGCTGCAGGTTAGCGACTGGGAGCTGCAGTTCAGCAAAGCACCCGCACGGCTGCTGCGGCCAGGGCAGAGAGGGGAAGCCTGGGAACGCTTCTGATGTCACCCGTGATCAGGAGACGCAAGGACGTTCCACAACAGATCGTGATGAAACTATTAAATACTTTGCATCTCAATACACTGGAGCACTTTGTAACCCTGCAAGCCATTGGTCTCGAATGCATTTTTTTGCACGCAAGCACGAGTAGATTTAAACATGGCAAGACCCATCAACCCTCCACTGGTGGCCGGGCAGGTGACCTCTCTTACCTTAGGTGGGAAACCAGTGCATCCAGCCTCTGATGCATCTCTCAGATATGCCAGCTACTTAGGTGATAATTGACATGCAATAAATCTGGTTTTTAACTCAGTTAATTACCACCGTTGCATCCATGAGTAATACGATAGCGTTTAAGGTGTGGCAGATTTTCCATTACAGAGTCCCTAGTTGCATGAATTTCCTGAGAAATGTTTTCTCCTGGATGCAGTTTTGACAGGAGGAAGCCACGTGCCGGCCCGAGCGCTCGATCTCCAACCAAGCCAGCTCTCCAGACATCTGCAGCCCCTTCCAGGCTGCAGAAGAGCCCAAGGAACCTCAGCCTTTCCCCTGGCCTGACCTCATACCATTACAGCAAGAGAAACAAGGCTTCTCTTGCTATAATGTTATGGTAGCCAATGCATCTCAGTTGCACCAACAGTGCTGGCAATGCTGGATAGATTCGAGTGTGCTCTGCCTAAATAAATAAGTAATAAAGCAATGCAGCCAAAGATCTAAGAAAAATGAACTTTGAGAGACTGCGCACTCAGGTTCCCAGCTGGAAATTGCTCTTACAACACAGGTCACTTTAGCAAATAAGCCAAGCAGAGTTTTGGTAAAGGAAAAACATTGCAACAGGAGGAAAATCTCCAGGACGGAGGACAAAGCAGATTGTGAAGACACCTCTCCGGTACAGCAGCAAACTCAACACATAATATCTGCAACGCAGACCTTACACAGCCCAGGCAATACCCTGCCTTTCCAACAGAGCAGAACCCATTAAACAAACCCGTTTATCAGCCGAAAACGCTGCTTTTCTGAAACATCCTCTTGCAGAAGCAGATAGTTTCAGTGCAACCTGCACCCAGGATCAGTAGAGAAGGTTGTTTGGCAATAACGTGCACAGTGGAACTGGAGTCCTGGGSTCATCACCCCGATCCTGTCATGGGTAAACGTGATGCGAGACCCCAGCTCTGAGCACTGGGTCCTACAGACCAGCTGAGCCTCAGGCTCCTGCTCCGAGCCAGGCAGGGACACGGCAGAGCCTGGAATTCCCACCACGTGTCCCCGAAGAGCCCGGGATGCTCAGCCACTCCACATCACACCAATAAAGACAAAACACACAAAAAGAGCCTGATCTGGAACAGAATCACTAGTGAATTGTTGGGAGCTCCACAGGCAGGAGAACAACATAGGAGCTTTATGCAGAATTATAGTGTTTTACTGCATCACGTCTGAGCCGTTCACCTGCAGGACAACACTTTGCAGCGACTGCCATGCCCGATTCAATCGGCTACCTGAAATTGTACCCTCGTTCTCCTACAAAGAGGGGCCCAGATCAGGGCTAACTGCACTTTTGCCCGCTGTGTTTCTGTCTGTACCAGGTCTCCGAGCTCCCTCTTGCCTTCCCCGCTTCCAAGCGGACAGGTATTTTTCAGAAAGAGAAAAGATGGAGAAAAAAAAATCCCTGCAAATTCTCATCTTCCTTCCCTAGCCTCCTCGAGTCATTGTTTTGCAGTACAAGTATTTCAGCTCTCTGTCCCAGGGAACAGGATTAGACAGGTCACTGCGGAATCAGATTACAGACTTTTACCTTTTTAACTTTTCTTCTCAGCACGTAGGCTCGAGAACTGACACCCGGCGAGGGAGCAGGCAAGGGACAGGCATGGGTGGAGGTGGCAGCCGAACGTCAGTGATTCAGAGCRCTTTGCCAAACCATTGGAAGTTCTCACGATTCCAGGACCTAAAACAAAGAGCGAGAGGGCTAAAATTAAAGGGTGCACAAGCTGAGAACCTTACCCAACCCGTGCCAGCAACAAGGGAGTGAAAATATTCAAAAGGGTCTTCCTAATGTTTATGCTGAGTGATCCTAAGAGATCGGATTGCTTGATTCCCCTCGCTGCTCGGAGCTGAGCCCGGCTGTTTGCACGCTGGTTTGGTGCCCACCTAGCCCGGGAGGCCCTCGCTACCCTGCAGCGCACGGCCAGTTCTGCAGGACACACAGCACTGGCTTGGGAAAGGACCAGCACCTTKCAGGGCATTGTTATGGCCACAGACATCCTCTGCTGGGACCCGCAACTCTGCACAGAGCCCAACATCGTGGTCTGAACACCAAGATGGGCAGCCGGTACCAGGTTTCAGTGCCAAGAGACCAAGGAAGGACAAAGAGCCCATCCAAGCAATAATCATCCTGGTAAAAGCACAAGTCAAACATGTTATGTCTGCTCCTAAAAGCTCTTAATGCTCATTAAGATTTGTTCTGATAGCTTAAGAGAGCTCACGTTCACTTTCTCTATCTGCAATTGAGAGCAAGGCAACCCATCCCCACACCACCTGCACGGGAGCATCCCACAGATTACCCTATATATCCTATATGTCTGAAGTGCCTAAAAATATCACTATTMCAATCATCTATTTAACCTGAACCTCTTCACTTGAGTCTGCACTGCTCCTGCTATTTATTATTAGCATGAACAGGAGCTGGCTTTGGGTGTAGCACGGTGTATTTTTCTCCCATGAGATACAGACACCATGGAGTCTCTAATTAGATTCAAAGCACAAGGACCATTAAGAGGTGAAATGACTTGCCCAGATTTACACGAGGTGGCCATGGCAGGGTGCAACACAAACTCATTTTCCCAAGTAGTGGAGCAATGCCCCAGCCAATGAACCATTCTTCCTCTATTAGTGCCTCAAATAATTAGGGTGGGAGTGTCAATTAGAGAATAAATTATGTTGCTTCTCCTTGTTCACCCGTTACCTACAAGTATATTAACCTTTGCTGTTCAAACCCATAGGAACATATGTGGGYTCCCAAGGTGCTAAAGGACAACCAGCTTCCAGCACATCCCTGGGCTAGTCCTTGAGCACTGCTCAAAGTCACGGCCACTCTCAGAAGGACACGTGGGTCATCGGGGGGACCTAAACGGCAATTCTCATCCCATCCCACACTGTACCAGGCAGCCCTATTTCCTGCAGAGCAGCCGTCAGTGGAGGGCACCATCAAGTCTCCAGATGCTTGTAGACTCAAAAGCATCATAAAATGGCCAAGAGTCACTAGTTCAAGACACAAGATCAGTTCTGCTTTGGGAGAAAAAAAAAATGCAAGATTTGCCTCTCACAAATACTCGGAAGCCAAGACACAAAATTAAATAAACCAATTTCTCTGCTGTAGGGTGTTGCTTGTGAGCAACATKACGGCATTCAGGGTGTGCTTCGCTTCTCAGCGTTATGTCCATCTTGCAGGGRTTACAAACCCAATGGAAACACTGCTCACGCAAACCCAAAGCTACAGAGAGCAAAATTCAGACAGGTTTCTCTCAGACGCCATCAAACTGGTGCCACTTGGGAATTTAAATGCCAGGAGTGCACTGGTGACTCCGTTCTGAAGGCAGCTCAGGCACACGGCTTCAGCTTCGAGTCATCTCCACTTGACCAACTCTACTAGTTGGAAGAATAATCAAGAAAAACTAGAGTTACATACCAAAACCAGAAACACACACTGTCACCTCCTGTTGAGGAAGAGGGAACCATGAGCTGAAAACCACAATTATTATTTAGTARCTTTGTTATGGTATGTACAACATACATATGCTAAGGTTTTCTCCTTCCCCATGATGTCCACAGATGCCCACAAGCCAGCAATGAGAGAAAACAACAATTTTAACCAGAACAGGCAAATTTTTGTTGTTCCAGATGAGCCTCCAAATGGACCATCTCCCATCAAACGGACCAGGGCCGTTGGCACGAGCCTCGTGCTGCAAACCCAGCCCAGGGACATGCCAGCACAACACGTGCCCCAGGCCACAGCCTGGTGGCACTGCTTGCACCCACRGCTCTGCATGGCACGAGCGCCCGTTTAGATGTTCTGGCATATCCCAAAACAGCCCACAATATCTTTGTTAATAAAATTTGAGATAAAGCCTAACGCAATCCTTTTCACAGGCTCATGCTGGGTAATTACAAGCCTATCACTTGCAAGTTAATTACACACGGCTAAAGACGTTATTACGTGTAGATGGAAAAATACATCGTATTCGAAACAAGTTCCTTCTGCCCTTAGCTCACTGATAGCTAAACATTTCCAAAGGAAAGGTGGGAATTCACCATTGGAACAGCAAGAGCAGTTGTGCAACACCTCTGGCTTTGGAAGAGGAAGCTGGAGAAATCAAAAGTGTCCTATTGGCAGAGAAGGCCCCGGAGCAGGAGCCCTTTGGGACTGCACTGCTCGCATGCAGGCGATGGCTGGGGTGTGATGGACATGCAGAGCTTTGGGGACACAGCTCCGGAGCTGCCCATGGGGACCAGAGCTCATGGAGAGGCATCTGCTGCCGCTGCCAGCCCCAGGGAGGGGAGCAGCTCCGGATGGAGCGTCCTCTTCTCCAGAGCTTCACAAATTAGTAACTGGGATGTCCCACATCATCAGCTGAGGGTGGTCAGGCCAAATTGACAGGGAAAGAAAAAGGAAAAGGTGCATCAGGAGCTATCGGCAACCACTGATGGTATCAGCCTTAGCCTGGTTCCAGCAGACCCCAAAGATCAAAGCCRTGGTCACACGGGAAAGGGGCAGCCCCTCTTTGCTGCTTTGGGAGAGGGTGCAGGGGCTTGGCACCTCCTGCACCCGCACAAACATCTAAAGATATTTCTTCCAAACAAGATGCTTCCTATGGGCAACCAAGGAAGCCCACACTGAGACATGAGAAAGGTATTTTTCCGCCTCCAGTTGCTGCCTTATTTCAAGGAGATAATTTTGGAAAAGCGCAAGCAGCAGAAGAAACTCTGTCAGGCTGCAATGATTAATAAATGCCAAACAGATGCACACCATTCTCCGCAGGATGATGTATGCGACAGGCTGGGGCAAACCCCAGCAAATGCATTTCCGAGCGCACTGCCCGAGGGCTGGAACAGGTAGCAACAGAGAGGGAGGGAAGGGAGAAAAAAAAATCACAATTATAAAAAGGAACCRTCAGGGAAAACACTGAAAACAAGCGGGCGAGCAAAGTGACAGCGAGTTAAACAAGGGAGGTGGTGAAAGTAGCTGGAGCCGAGCGCTGCTGTCGGCGGCTTGTAAACAGCCGGGAACTCTAATGAGGTTCGTGCTCCAGAACAGATGCCTTAAGGGCCCGTCACCCAGCCCCGTGCAGTCTTACTGGGCACCCTGGGGACAACTGGGTCCCCAGCGATGCCACCGGGCTCTGCGGGGGCTGCCACAACACCCCACTCATCCCAGCATCCCGTCCATCCCAAAGCAGCCAGCCCATGGAGCTCGTGCCAAGGGACAGAGCATTTACCCTCCCATGAGATGATCCGATGTTTAATTTAAAGTTTATTTTCCAGGGCAAAGTCGGCCGAGGGCCGTTCCCAGCCCTTGCTCTGGATACCTGCTTTGCTGCTCACTCCTCCATCACCCTCACTTCTCGGGAAGATGCAGCAGCTCTTCCCTCACCACCAGCCCCACTGAGGCTTTGCTCCTACACTACATCCGTATCTGCCACCAGTGTTTCAGGATTTACATCAGCAGTTAAGTGCCTGATGCCCGTTAGCTCATTAACAACTTCACCTCCAAACACGCAGCCAGGACAYGGCTGCAGGAGCAGCAAAGCCCAAGCTCCGACTCACTATCAGTCCCTGCTACAGAGAATCACCTATTTTCAATAATCCTTAGTCAAAAAATCAGAGATCTTCCTTAATGAAGTCAGAGGAAAAGCCAACTCTCTCCTCCCCAGGTAGGCTCCTGCCCCTGCAGGTTATCAGTGCCCTTGCTGGGGTCATCAGCATCGCTCCATCACAGCCCGGGGGCTCCACTAGCAAATACAGAACCATTTGCAAGACATTTGCTGACCCTCCAACACTCAATATACCCGGTCAGCATCTACCCAGCAAAATATCWAATAGATACACAGAAAAATAAAGACAGAAATAGAAGCTTTCAGGGCAAGTGAGAACTACTTATCACTTCCTTCAATCTAGGGTTGGGTTTTGGAGAGTCATTTGCTTGCAGGTGACTGACAGCAGTTTTTTTTATGATGAAATACTGTTTGCAAAAACGTCCTGCCTAAAAATGGTTCCACCGGAGCTAATAAATTCCTGCAACTAATCCTACATTGCCACCCACAAAACACATTACTCATGGATGGAGATGCAAAAGCCGCAACACACAGCAGCAGGGAGCAGGAAAAGATAAAATAGACTCGGGTGATTGCAAAGATGCAGCCTTGGAGGCTATGAAGTGGGCATGCATTTTGTTGCAGGATGTCCCTCAGGATTCGGGGTCTCTCCATGCGTTGTAATGGGAATACACAGGGATGCGCTCGGTGCTCCTGCTCAGTGCGGGGCATCTGTGCCCCRTGTCCTGCAGGAGCACATTTCCCATCCCGTTGTGGAAGCAGGGAAACACTATCCCCTTCACGCACAGGGGAAAACTGAGATACAAAGAGATTAGTCCTGGTCTTCCCAAGACCGGCAGAAGCAAAGCAGGAAGGAAAAACAGGAATCTCTGTGTTCTAGTACCCCCTAGTCTGCTGCTGTCTCCAGCTAGCACTGCTAAAATGGAACAAGGTATTAGACTTTAAGACAGAAGCTTGAAAACATTATAAAACTTAGATTAGCTTCAGCAAGCAGCACACAAGGATATCCCTGAGGTTAATGATCCCATTGGTCCACTCAGATTAAAGTTTRCTAAGGAGATTATTTGAGAATTCTCAAATAACAGCAAGTTATTAAAACCCCCTCTCCAACCTAATCAAAGCTGTCCATAAAGTCAGCATTGAGGTGGTCTGATAGGGTCCTCTGCACTGAAAATGGGCACGGGGATAAGTGTGACCCCCTTGTCTCAGCTCTTTGGATGGGGCCACCCTCACTGAGCGGGGAATCATCATCCTCCAAGGCCCGGATAGGCGGCAGGACAGGTACCTGGGTGCCCCGGGAGCTGACGGGCAGCACCAGGAACAAGGTGTCCTTCCCAAAACAAAGGTCCAGGGCTGCTGGTCTGCGCTGGGCTCACTTAACCCTACAGGACACTTCTGGCTTAGCTCGGACTGCTCTTGTCCAGGCGAGCAACTTGCTTGTGGAGTTTGACACCAGCTACATCCAAAAAGCCTCATGCAGAAGTTGACATTAAACCTAAATAAAGGAGAGGAAAGGAGAGTGAATTCAAACAGCACTTTTGAATATGAACAACTGCATTGGAGTTCTTGCAGATATCAGCTCCCCAGACCCTCAAGGGATTCTCACTGCTCTGAAAAGCCTGGAAGGCATCAACCAAATCCAGCCTGGTGAGTCTGCTCCTAACGCACCCAGGAGCCGAGCCCCCAACCCAGCCAGAGCGGATTCCTTCTTAAAAGTCATCATCTTTGACAGCTTCTCCTGCTTTGCAGAACACGCTGTCTTGGGAAGGCTGTGCATATTTTCCCTGAATGTCCCCTGCTCTTGTTAGGCAAGAGACAGTGGAAGAAGCAAGGGGAGAGCAGCAGAAAGGGAGGAGAGCAAGAGAAGACGGTTGCAAAAGCAGCAGCAAACTGGCATCAGGGAGGCAGGAGGCGGCGGGTCAGGTAACAGCCTCCCTGTGGCTCTCCGCCAGCACCTGCTAAGGAGCCCAAATCCCTCAAACCTGAGAATTTGCAAACTAGCAAATCCAGGGATAAGAGCGTTGCGCAGAGCCTGCCCGGGACGCTCGGCACGCTGCCCTTACGCAGCGCCTCTGCCCTGGGGTCCCTGCAGCTCCCCGGGCTGTCACAGCCGCAGGACGCAGGGTCCTGTCTCTGCTGCTCCGCAGGAGTGGACACCACCRAGGGGAGAAGCTTTTTCCCTTGAAAGCAGCTTAGGGGAAAGGGGAATGTTTGTTTTCTCTGCACGGCTCAACAGAAATACGAATTTCCTCAAAGCTGCAGGCAGCGATATTTGCTGTCGGGTCTTATTTCTTTTCCTGGTGAATCCCTCCAAGGGAGCCGGGTGTCTCAGCTCAGGAAACACTTTGGACTCGCTCAGGGACCCTAAACCCTGCYGGGCGATGCCACGGCAGGGTTAGGGGCACGGCTTCATAGGCTAAATCACCATTCATTGATCCAACGTGATCTTGTAACTGGTCCTCAGCTCTCCTCATTACACATCTTCTGCTTATTACTATCGTGAAGGTTTTCCAGGCAATATTGCTGGGACTCACGTTAGCTGCCTTGAGGAAAGCCCTCGCTCCCCTCTGCTCTGCCGCTGGCTCCAAGGAGGGACTGGCAGCAGGTTCCCTCCAAAGGGAGTGCAATTGCTGGGTTCAACGTTTCAGCTACTCCCGGAGCAATGAAAAGGTTAAATAATTGGACAGAAAAAAAAATAAGAGGACTCAAATAAAACCAGAGTCACTGTTTACTTCCCTGTGTTGGTTTTCAGATGATATCAAGCTCCTTACCAGGAACTCAAACAGCAGGGACTCGCTTTGATAAAACACATCCTTCCTCTCCATTGCAGGATTTGGGGCATTGGCTCCTGCGAGCTCGTGGTCCCCTGGCCCTGAGCACTTCCCTGGAATGGGACTGCGATTTTCCAGGTATCGAACACGCCTTTGGAGCGGCAGATGTTGGGATCTACCCACAGACTTGGAACCCCACTGGCTTTGTTCCCCATGAGCCAGGAACATCCGAGCTGGATTAATACCCGAGCCGGGGTTGGCACGCGGGAGGGCACCGAGGCAGCTCTGCCCCCGCAGGGCTGCTCACCCACAGCCTCTCCCTTCACCCTGTGTGWTCAGCAGCATCTCAGAAAGCCGGAAAGCAAACTTCCCTGCAAATAACACATTCCCGCGGCCCTTCCTTAATGGCCAAGCCCTGGGAATGGCCAGTGAGAGGTTCCAGGGGTGCTTCCTCGCGGGAAGCAGCGCTGTGGCCGGCGCAGGGCACAGGCTGCATGGGGCAGCCACCCGCCAAACTGCTGCCCTGGGTGCCCCGAGCRCCGCCTGCCCGGCCCCCAGTGCCACCCCCAGGCCTCGAGGAGACGCTGCTAACCACAGCCCCACRTTTCCTGAAACTGGAGATATCTGTTGGTTTTGGCCCGGCGCTGAAACGTGCCCAGCGCGCCGGGCTCAAAGGCTGCTTGAGAGCGTGTGATTTAATAGGAGACAAAAAARCCTGACTCCAGCAAAACTCCAGCCTGGAAGGAGCCTTCAGTTTACTCCAACACGCTGCATTATTGCTTTTTAATATTCCTCGCAGGCCGCTCTCCCTGCTGCCCCACACTCCTGCTTCCATTAGACCCACAGCTCTGGGAGCTGCAGCACGAGCCAAGTCCCTCCTGCTGCCACCAGCCACGTGCGCAGACCTTGCCCTGCTCCTTCCAGCTCTGCCATGCCGGGGCCAGGCTTGGGAACAYGCACGTGTGCACGGGACCAACCTGCAGCACCGGCTTTTCACTGCTGGCCCCATGGCCCAGGCTGGGAGACGCTCCTTCCTTGGACATGTGCCGCATCCCAAAGCAACATTTCCCTCGTGCTGTCCCAGGGAGGTTGCACATATTGCAGAWCTGCTGCAAACCTGCATCCCGGTGCATGGGAACCCGTGCATGGGGACCTGTCCTACCCCCTGCTCTGCCCGCTGCCCATCCAGCGCCGGGAATGCGGCACAGGGTCCCCCAGCAGCTCCCGGGAGCCCTGCGCTCCGAGCCCTGGAGCGTGAAGGAGTTAAAGCAGCCTCATTGCTGAGGGATTTCTCCGTAATCTGCGCACATGTCATGGGGATCAGGACCGTGGGTGGCAGTGCTAGCCGGTGGCAGTTGTTCAGGCCCTCGGCCCAGCACCTGACCCGCTCRGAAAGCCCTCTTATCCCAGCAGTTTTCAAATTTAATTAAGGGGGACCTATCACAGGCTTAACTCCGCCATGGTACCGGCCCGAGAGCCCTTTGGGGGCTGTGCGCAGAGCCAGGCGAGCGTGGTGGCATCGCCAGCCGGGACAGGGAGCCAACGCACCCGGAGCGCCGAGCAGCAGCTTAGAGCCAAAAAAAGAAAAAAAACAGGGGAAAAAAGAAAGAGAGAGAGAGAGGAGGTGGCGCTGACCAAGGGGTCAGATTCTTTTCTGCGGAGGTAATGGTGGCATTACAAGGAAATGCAAGTTAATAAGAAACCAACCGTGCTGGTTAACGTTTGCCGGTGGGAGAGCGCAGGGGATCGGCTGCACCCTGCAACCCCGCCRGGCTCCCCCCGGGGCGACGCCGCGGGAAGCGCTCCGGAAAACCACCCGGATGAGGGGTCTGAGGGCAGCAGCCCCCGAGGAGGCAGAAGATCCATGAAAATAGAGCTGCTGGGAAGCCTTGAGGCTCCCCTGCTTCCCCAGGTGGGAACTCAGCAGCTGACAGGGACAGGCTCATGCAGCGCTGCAGGCAGCAGATTGTGCTGCCTCCCTGCACCCCAAATCCTGCCCATTCCTCCTCAAAACCCAGCAATTAACTCGGATGGGAAATCAGCGCCGAGGCCAGCGGGAAGGGCTGCTCCTGATACAGACAGGCTGGAGGGAATCAGCTCTCACTATCGGGTGCCCCACACACAGCATCACCCCACGGCACCTTCCCAGCCCAGGGGCTCATTCCCACTGCCCGTCCCAGCGCTGGAAGAGTCAGCTCCGATCACCAAGCGCCTGGATCTCGCTCTGACGTGACTTCAGTGGAAGTTAGGTCATTAATTGCTAATGCAGTCACGAGGATGGCAGGAGCTGTGTGCCCTGACTTGAAATTCAGAGCCTTGGTTTGACATGGGGACCAGCGGGTTGGGGTGGGAGGTGGAGGTTTTTTTTTCCTTCCATTTTTGGCTACTAGGCAAACTCACCAAGAGCAGGAAATTAGGAAGAGAAACAGTCTCAGCGTCAATACTCCACCGAGTCTATTTACCAAGGGCTATTTGCACTAGATAATCGCTCAGAAGTGTCTCACCTCCTGAGCTCTTCAAGAGCCAAGTGATGTCATGGAAGTGGCATCCAAGGCCGGGGCCAATGTGAACCGACATAACCTGCGCCCGGCAGGAAACCGCTCCGCTCAGGAGCGGCTTCTCAGCTCGGATATTTGGCTTACCTGACTACGCTCACTCTGGAACTCAGCTTGGCAAACCGGGGGCCTGCAGCAGAGCTCCAGACTGGCCCTATCTGCCCACAGAAACTCTTTGATGGCAGAATCCAAGGGGATTTCTTGGAAAGAGCTCCCAAATCCCCTCCCAACCRGCCTGCAGGGTCTCTGTGCCAGCGCATTGGGGACAGGCCACCACCGAGGTGGCCCTGGGCGGATTTTGCACCTCCGCTTCGCTCCCCTACGGGCACAAGGACCGGAGACGGGTCCRTGTGATCCTTCCTTAGCCGAGCACAAAGAAACTTCTCATTTCATCCACGGATAAAAGAACTAAATAAAAGCAGAGAGGGAAAGGGAGGCATCTCAAGTGATTAAATATCCACAGCAGCTCAGGGACAGAAGAGGACAGGAACACAGGAACCAGAGGAGAAAAAAATCTGCTTTTTATTATTAAACTATTATTTCAAATTTCTAATAAGCAGGTTGAAGTTTAAATTACACGATCTCTAACAAAGTCAGGATCCAAAGAGCTCAGGAGCCCGCAGATAACAATCGCCTCCCCCCGGATCGGTTTCAGGCCATTCCTCTGCCCAGACAAAGGTCCCTTTCAGCGCAGGGAACGGGGACCGCGGGGTTTCGTTACCCTCCTCGCAGCAGAAGCAGCGGGAGAAGCCGGTTCTGCCTCCCGGGCTGTGCACACCTGATGCCAGAGCCCATCTGGGATGGTCCCAATGCGGACACCACGGAGCAACCGGCCCAAAGGCCYCTCCAATGGGCCCAGAAGCCTCCATGGGCTCCAGTCAGCACAGCCCAGGGTCCTGCACGGCCTTGGGGACATTCCGGATTGGGAAAAGCAGGACACCCACTCCTGCAGCCCCTGCACTCAGGGCTGGCCCAACCRGTTCCCAAAGGATGCAAATCCACTAGCAACGGGCACGAGAAAAGAGCTCAGAACCCTGCAATGGCACCTGAATTGGGGCGCTGTGCAGGATGACGCCAAAGGCAAATACGGAGATGTGCCACRGCTTGCCAGAGACCGGGTTAAACCCCGAGCC